TATTTTCATATTTCTTGATCTTACGCCGTAAATAATAATTACACATTTTAAATTTTCTTTTGATGAATTTGACGAGATGATCAATTATTTTTATTAGCATTTATACATGTAAATATTATTCTCACATTCGTCATTATATTATTATAAACAAATTGCTGCCAACCGCCCAAGTTTTTTTTAATCCAACTCCTAAAAAAAAGGACCTAAATCAAGGTCCTTCTGTTCACTTATTAAGCTTATCTCTACTAATGTTTTTATATAATCGATTATTTGTAGATGGATTTGGAATTGGAATTAGAATTAGAATTTGGAATTGGAATTGGATTTAGGGTTTGGAATTGGAGAAATTTGAACCGTGGATTTGGAATTTGATTTATGGATGTTTGCACTTTTCAATTCTATATTACCAACAAAATATAATGACAGTACATTTAAATATGTAAAACTACCTCGCTCTTACGATCGCTGATTGTTGACGTTGACTGGTCAACGTCCGCCCAAACTGAGTTTTGATGCTGGGTCCGTCACTGAGTAAAACAATATTTCTTTTTTAATAGGGATTTGTTTATTTATTTAAAATTCTTGTGTCCTCAGTTGTCAATGCCATAATATATTGAAATTTCTCTCTTTTTAGAAAATTAATTTGTTCCTCAAATTCAGGAAATAACAGCTGACCTTTTGGATCTGTTTTTTCAATTGGGCAATAAAAAATTGAGAAAATAGAATGTTTATAAGAATTCAGTTTCCAACTTTATTTAAAATTAGTATTTAGTGGTGATAAAATTATAAATTATAATAAAATAAAAGTAGATAATTCTCACCATTAGCTGTTTGGTAAGTAGGATTACCAGCTATTCACTGTAATTATGAGGTCAGATCATACAAATTCTTAAACAGAAAAATTGCATCATTCGTCCCTAACTTATGGATTTGGATTTAATGTTGTGACAAACTAAAATTTTTATTCTCAATTGTATAATACTGATATCTTGTCATAGCATGATTCAATCCACTTGTTCAAATTATTACAGAGAGATAAAAAAGTTTCGTTTGCTATAGAGATAGGATACACACAAAGGGGTAACAATGAGTTGAGACGAGTCAGATTGTAAGCTCGTCGATTAGGTTCAAGAGTCAAGACAGTATACATTAGTTTCAAACTTTATAAATATGAAATATTCATTGGGGGAAAAAAATAATACATTCATTTGGAAAAAAAATAATACAATAATTAATAATCCATTACACAATTTATATTTTACAAGTTTGAGAAAATTTGTAGCTTCCAACAACAATTACAAGTGATATTTAAAGATTCGACCATATTTCCTAACAAAAA